AAAAAAATAGAAAACTAGAGAAATGTGAATATAAGATAAATTTCATAAGTAATTTGTCACAATAATAATACAATTACTTTACTGAAACTATATTTGAAATTTGTCTTTTCAGCTGCACAAATAAAAGAACTTAAATTGAAACAACAACAAAAATTGAAAAGAAATAGACAACAAAAATCCATAAGAAAATCTAGTTTACAATGCAAGAGGTGTGCAGCACATTGGACACCAACCCGATGGGCGCTCAGATCAAATCCGAGTCGCCCCTGAATCCCCTACAGGTGCAAACGGGCCAGACGACGGTGTCGGTGCCAATTGTGCCCGGAGCGGGCGGCCAAGGACCGCAGGGACCGCCGCCAGCGGTGATGCTTGTCAACAAAATGGCACCGAACTGTGATAAACGAGCCGCCGACACCGCCTACTGGATGGCCACCGAGGGGGGCTTCATCAACTCTCAGCCCTCGATGGCCGAGTTTCTCAATCACCTGAGTCCGGAGAGCCCGAAAATTGGCACACCTGTTGGCGTTGGTGTTGGTGTCGGTGTTGGAGGCGGTGTCGGTGGCGGATATCCGGTTAATGTCGGCAGTGTGCCACAGACACCGGATGGGATGGACTCGGTGCCCGAGTATCCCTGGATGAAGGAGAAGAAGACATCGCGCAAGAGCAGCAACAACAACAATCAGGGTGAGTGCCAAACCATCAATAGCCGCAATCAAGTCTTCACTTAGGGTAGCAGTAGCTGCAATCAACTCTCTATTTGCCACTTGCCACTTGCAACTGGTGTACTTGCAACGGCAAGATGAAAAGCCGCAATCAGCAGCGGGCTTAGCTGGAAAATGCAAAGCTCTCATTAATCAAAAAATCAGTGCAATTTAGCCTAGCATCGAACGGCGCCGCCGCCATAGCCACAGCCTTCTCCCGTCCCCAAGTCCAGTTCCACTGTATAAAGATTCCAGGTCCCAATCACTCCAATCCCAATCCCAGCTGGCCAATCTCATTTGTAGCTCACTCGATCAGCACAGCACACGCAATGCGACTTCGTCTTCGTTTCTGTTTCTGTTTCTGGGTTCGGCTCCTTTGATGGGCAACGCGCCCTGAACCAGGCCCAAAGACCGGCAAAGATCTGTTATTTGCGATCATTTGTAACAATTTTCGAGAGTGGCCCGACGTCGATTCGTCAGTGCGACTGATGAATACAGCTCAACGTCTTCGAGCTGGGCGCGTTTAGTTCTTTTATTTCTCTTTTAGTTTTCTGTTTTTTTTTTCTCTTCTTCTTTTTTTACCCCGATGTGTCGATTTCATTTGTGCAGCAGAAACTGCGGCCAGCCTGCGACTCTGGCCGCAACGTTTTAAAATAAATGAGGTATCAAGGTTGTCTGGCCATACGTTTTCCTGTCCAGGCACAGGCACAGGTACAGGTCCACTCTATCCAGAGAACAGGGTCGGTCCAGGGCCACGCATATGCTCAGTCTCCCTTGCCTCTGCTGCTGCCTCTGCTTCTGCTGCTGCAACTACTCCCTCTCCCCTCTGAGCGATTGCAACCTGTTATTTAGGTTCATTTGTCAAAATATTTTTCCTGTCCCCTGTCTCGATAAAGGGGGCAGGAAAACAGCCGAAAGCTGGCCAATGTGTCTGAGTATGGGTATGAGTATGAGTATGGGAATGGGAATGGGAACGAGCAGACAGCGCACAGCAGTTGCAACAGTTGCAAGTTGCAGTTACAACTGTTGTTGCTGCTGCGCATACGTAAAAGTATATCCCCGGGAAATTTGCGGCGCATTTTGCATTTGTTGCCACATTTCGGGCATTATCAACATTTACTCCATGCCAATGCCATTCACTTGCCCCAACTTTCAATTAATCACAACTGGACACAAGTCGAGCGCTTATGTGCGATACCTAAGGCAATTGCAGCGAATCAAATTTGAAAGAGTTGAATAAGATATGGACTATGCAAAGAAATGAATGGATCATATATGTTTATATTCATATGTATGTCTATGTATATATAATATATATTTCTATACATTCTTCTAACAGCTTGCAAAAATAACATAACATTTCATTTTAATTGCCCATCCTATATAATTAACTGGTTTTAGTTTGAAAACCTTGTTTTAATTAGATTTCAAATTTCAAGTTGAAAACTTTTTTTTTTGCAAATTTTCTAAAATGGCAAATATACATTATACAAACAATTATTAGCCATTAACTAGCTAAAACTGCGATTAAATATTGTAATGAAGCAAAATCAGCTTAAGATGGCAACAACATTGAAACAACTTCATAAAAACAAATGATATGCTCTTAAAGCGCACTTACTACAAGGTTGCTTAGGTGTAATAAATATCTACTGGGTGTGTGTGTGTGTATCGACTAATGCCAATTAATATCAACCACACCATCATCATGTTGACAAATGGCAACCACTAATCGGAGAGACGCTTCAAGTGTAACCTGAAATCCAAACACGTGGCCAGCGACATCTCCGATTCCCCAGCGAGCGTGAGGGCGGGTTCTGTAGCAAATCCTGAGCATTGCCAACTAGAGGAAGCATAAGCCCAACTGAGTTCCTCGACTGCGCCACGTCCGAGTGAAAGTGAGCCAATAAATAGCGTGAAGCATCCCAAGCACCGACACCACTCGCACAGAATCTGTTGAAGGGTCAATACATCTTAGCTCCCACACACACACACACACACACACACACAGGCACACACGCACACAGATTCATGTAGGGCGGCATTCGACTGGGACTGTGGGACTACATGCTGAGCGATATGGATTACAAATGATGTTGTAAATGTCTGTCCGTTTGCCAAGCGGGCGGCAAGTCGGACAAATGGACAGAAGGAGAGAAAACTGAGCACGTTGTTACGGCTTTCAGTTGACTCGACAAATGCTTGTGAATGTGTGTATGTGTGTGTTGGTTTAACAGTTTAATTTGTTAATGTTGTCAAATTAATTCCATGTCAGGTTGTATCCGCTTAGAAGTGTTGGCAGTATCCCACAGAGTCCGAGGATCATTACAAGTGAAACTCAGGCGGAGGGCTAAGCTTCCCTTTTGCTAAGTATGTAGAGCTATGAACTGGGCACTTAAATTAGTTTATTAACTGTTAAATAGCTAGTATTGAACGAAAACACAAACTTGTATTGTATTTTGAAGAATCTCACATATATATTTTTTGCTCTAACAGACTTGTTTTAAATAAATTGCCTGAATGGGACCTCAGGCTTAAAATTAGTCATCAGTAAGAAGTCGATCTAAATTTTGACTAATGCAATGTGTATACCTTATAAGGTATAAAGTATAAAAATACTGTGTTTTCAGAAAATATATAATATTACGCAATATAACATATTAAATTATTATTTGAAAAGGGTTAAATGAAAATGTATATGAAAATTTATATCTTAATACAAGAATATTCCCGACTTAATGGGGTCATCCAGATGTATATTAAGTAAGCATTCCAGACTCCAATTTATATTTAACTCGAACAACTTTTCTCCATTCTTTGCTCTTCTCATTACCTCTCTGCTTTCTCTGGCTACACTCAGTCGAAGTCTCTCGCTGTCAGACCTTGTTCCTTACACGAGTTTTACAACACTAGAGTTTCCGATCTATTTTTTCTTTCTTCTACTTTCATAATGTAATGCTACTTGGGAGTTGTTCAATTTAACATTATACGAACATTTAAAATTAATCAAATAAATTACCAACATATATATATAAGTACAATATATACATAGATATATTTCAATCGTCTCTCTCTCTATTCCTTCATGCTTTAACCCGCTTGTTGCGCTCACCGCAAATCGTTTGCTTCACATCCTGAATTTTAATGTGTTCGCGAGAAGAGTGTATAAGTGTGAGAGTGAGTGTGAGTGCGAGTGTATGTGTGTGGCTGGGTGTGTGCTAAATGGTTGTTTAGGGCTTGAAGTACATACCCCGTTGGGCTGCTCTGTCTATGCCTGTGTGTGTGTGTGTTGCTCATGTGTGCGTACTCGAATACAAATTGTTTTGTCAATTTGCTGCTGCTGCTCGGGCGCTTATTCACTCACATAATTGAAACAATAAAATTTCGACTTGAATAAAGTGTTAATTAGGCGTAAAGCTTCCTCATTTAATGCACTGTAGGCGAAGTTGAGAAACGAAGCGTTTATGACCCCGCAAGATGCTCAGTTCGCAAAGTATCTGTGAGATACGAGCAAGTATCTCAATCTTCAAGCTCCATGGCTCCGTGGCTGTGTATGCAAAAGCGTGCTCTGCTTTTAATCCCAGTGCGACCATCAGTTAGCAAAACCAATAAAAAAAGAACAGCACCACTCGACGCCACTCGGCTTGACTTGTTGTTGTTGTTCGCCCCTGTTGGGCGCGGCTATCGAATCGCAATCCAAATCCATTCGTGCGCCATCTGTATAATCCACCCACCGACCATATGTTGCGCCAGTTCATTCAGCTCCGGCTTCAATATCCTTGCCAGCTCCAGTTCCAGTGCCCTGTCGTGCTGTGACTCTGGCTCGGGTTCGGGGGCGTCGCTGCATAAAAAATGCGTATCGCACGACTCGAAACTTACCCCCTGCGGATTATGATTATAACAAACCATTTATCATAATATTTATGTTGATGCGTTGTACTTTTTCTCAATGAAGGCTTCGCTGTCTCAATGCCCCTGTCCAGGTTCTTTTGACTTTCGGCTTTTGACTGCGTGCCTTTTATTAATTTTATTTATGATGAGTCATTTGCACATTTATAATTTTAACCTTTACAGTTGAATTCATTCAAAATAAACCGCAGTTAAATACGTACAAAAGAGCCAATGGAGTCGCTCTCAAAGAGCAACTCAATTCACCAGATGTAATTACATCTGTAGTTGGTAATATACATATATGTAGATCAATCTGAAATTTAAATAGATTTGTTAACAGGGAATTGTGTCTAAATTTAAAATAATTTATTTTATTAAATGCATAATGAAGAGAGAGAGAGGGTAAAATAAGCTAAAAATTTAATTTTATTTTATATAATTCACTTAATTTATATGTGACATATGCTAGAAATTTGGAATCATTTAGAAACATTGTCTATGCTCGCATCAAGCTCACTCAAAAGCCCAACTTAAAAATGGAACATTACATTAAATTAATTGCCGGCTCGTCAAATAAATTTTAAGCACTAATTATGCGTCAAACCGAAAGGTGCTCAAAATAAAACGGCTGGCCTGCTGTCTGAGGGATATCTTTAAGAAGGAGCCTCAGATTGGGCTAAGTCGCAGCCATTGAAAAGGTCGCGCAATTAATTGTTACGACTTTATTATGGAGATAAGTGCGTCGAGATAGAGATTGCGCGCCGTCTTGTGGAGGAGATCCAGGCAAACAAAGGGTTCTAATTGGCAGGCCGCAGGATATGGCCAGGCAGACGTCTCCGCCCAAGGGTGTCCCTTTTCTTACTCATTTTTTATCGCTCCCATCATGACTGTGAAAAAAATCTGTTACGATTAGTTAAGCTCAGGAAAAGTGAGCTGGCGGCTGCCCAAAAAAAAAAAGCAACCTCAAATATATATATATTTACATTTTTTACTCTTTTTCCCAATTTTTTTTTCTACTGTCGCGGGTTTATCTGCGAACTGATTTGTCATTATTTTAAAGCGTAATTTTTTTTTTTCGAGAATTATGAAAAATTAATGTTTATGCCACGCCCGCAATTACTTCTGACCAACTGACGTAGCTTTTCCAATAAAAATTTAGCTGTGAGAAATTGTGCGGCTAATGCTTGGGCTCAACTTTGACTTCTTATTGGAGTCGAGCAATAGCAATGCGGGACACTGAGGAGTCAGATTAAATAAATTTGAATGGGAAACATTAGAATAAACAGAAATGCCTAAAACTTGTTCCGATATTTCATATAAAATAAGGCAGAGTTTTTGTTCTTATGAATTGAACATTTTTTTTATCGATGGGTTGACAGGTCGATTAAAACAGTTTAACAAATCAATCATTATGAGTTTTTGACAGGCAAACAAACTGCGGCGTGGACATATGCATATTGTGGTTCCGTGAGCGCTCAGAAAAACTCTGATTGTCAAAATTTAACAAGTAGTTAACATATGTTTTTTTTTTTTTTTTTTTAAATAGACAGTTAAAATCAATATGTAAAGTAGTACTAAATGTTAAGGTAGATTTAGAGATATGAGATTTTTATTACACTAAAAAAATCTAACCTAATAATAATAAATAGATAACTTACCATCCAGCTATTTCCTTACACTATAGCAAAACTTTAGTTTGCCTTAAATTCAATTTGAATACAAGATCCCCATACTTGACCCACTGTGCGTCTTGCTCATTTGCCGCCAGTGAATTAGGAAAACAACGAGAGTAAAAAAAAGCGTTGACTATAGAATTAAACCGCGTCCAGTATCGATTTAATTTTATTTCCGCTCATTTAGCTAAAAGCCAAAGGAGAAGGAAAATAAAAAAAAGGAATGAAAATATTTGTCCACGATTAAATTTTAAAAAAGCATTTTATGAAATGACTGCACACTGACACTGGCCTCGCCTTAGAAAATTTGAATACATTACGCGTGTGGGCGGCAAGTGCTGCGGTGCGCTGTGGTTGGGGCTGCCTGACTGTGGCTGTGTGGTTGTGTGGTTGCGGTGGTGGGTTTGGCCCGCTGAGCAAATAAAAGTGAGCAGCAGCAGCAGTAACTGGAACCACATCCCCATTGACAATTCCATTGCCCATCAGCAACAGCCCCTGCTCCTGGTCTTGTTCCTGATTCTGTTCCTGCTCCTGCTCCTACTCCTGCTCCTGCTCCTACTCCTGCTCCTGTTTGGCTTGACAATGACACACAAAAGCCGCACACTTAATCGCCGCGGATCACATTCCGTAAAAAGCGCGACGATAAAAATTTTTTACGCTCTATTCTTGTGTACTTAGTGAAATGGAGGGCAGAGCCCGCGCGCAGTGGGATTGCGTCGCTTTACTCACTTAGTTTGACCCGCGCTTGTCCACAATTTGAATGTCTCTGTCCACTTTCCTCAGCTGGCTTCGTCGTAGTGGCCGTGGCGGTCGTTGCTGAGCTAACCATCATCGTAAAGAACAAAATCAAATCCGAAATTATTTTCAATTTGTACGCGATTTATTTTTATGTCTTTCTCTCCTCTCGCCCAGTTTAAACGATTTGTAAACATTTGAATTGGATTTTCGGCCATAAAAATCGCTTGTTAGCAGCGGCATTGTTGAGCGCTTTATCAAAATACCCGCTCATCCCATTCTGAACCACTTAAGTTGCCGGCATTAGTGGCAGCGGGTACAAGTAGTACAGTCAAGTGCTCAAGTATGCGTACACCACCTATTTATAACCGCATATCAGACCGTTAATCGCATTACCCACACTCGATTGCATGCGAATACAATTGCAGCTCAGTGGCTAGCCGCCTCTACGTCAACATCTTTCAGCAGCTGGAGCTGCACTAACTAGCAATAATAAGTTCATAAATTATCGGATTTACATAAAACGACGCTTAGTTATCAATGAGCCACTGAACTACCGTAATTAGTGCAGGTGAGCGTAGACTGAGGCGCCCGCCTCAAGACAAATGACAGCGAAAAAACTGCCATAAATTAGTTGTATCACAGCTCTCAGTCGCAGACTGCAGACACCGTTTTGGTTTCGTCTGGATTCATGCTGTAACGCTCCGCTGATTTGAATCGACTCAGCCCTCGAAAACTAATTAGTTTAAAGACTCGCATCACACTAAAGCGAGCGAAATCACAAGTGAGAATCCATCATGAGCAGAACATGCGCGATTCACACGTGTCTGATAGCTCGCTGAGCTGAGAGTAGAGCCGGAACAAGATTTGCTATTACGATAATCAAGAGAAACAAATAGGTTAAAGAAATATATATTTATTATAAATGCAACTCTAGGCAGGAGTTCTCATTTCCTCTCTCTCTATTCGTTTTTATCCTCACAAAACTAAACAAGTAAGAGTGCTCTAGTCGAGAATGCTCGATTAGGAGATATTCTAATAATTCTGCACTTCTTTTATACACACATGCAAAAACACATGCATACACACGCACTTATAAGCACATATATATAAGCACATATTCATCAAATGTAAAAACACAGTAAATCTGAAGTCTTTAGATCTAAAAGTGTTCAAATTAAGCTGAAAAAAATCTAAATAGATTTATCGATTATTCTCGATGAAAAAGATTATTCTCGATAAGAAGAGTTATCAAAAAAATTATGATAAACTCGTACTGCGTATGGTATACACGCACATGCATGGAAAATTTCAAGTCCTTAGCTCATATCTTCTGAGATTCTGGCGCTAATACGGATTTCCTGATTTCCCAGTTTCGATGGGTTCAGAGTATAAAGTTCATCATGCTTATTAATTTTTGCCTATTTATCATCATGCAGCATTGATTAGTTCTCGACTTGTTTTTTTTATTGAACTTCAGTTATTTATTGCCCTAAATTTAATTTCCATTTAGTGTTTTAAATGTGATAAATGTGAACAACAGCCAAAGGGCTGTATGCACAGACAAACAAACGGAGTCAGCGTTGAAATATTTAACGGCGTTTAAAAGAGCGTGAAAAGTCAACAAGGATAACAGCCACAAAAGCCGCACAAGTATGGGCTCGAACACATGCTCCTTTAGCCTGGGCACAAAGGTCGCAGTCGTGTGTGCCCTGTGTCTGTGTGCGTGTGTGTGTGTGTGTGTGTGTGTGTGTGAGTCTGTGATTTAAATAAAACTAATGTTTGTGTGAAATGGATTTTCTGTTTGTCATCGACTGCCACTGAGGGGTGTCTATGTGTGAGTGTGCGTGTGTGTGTGTGGATTTCCCACTGCTTGATATTCAAATAGCGAACCACATGCAAAAAAGGCTTCATGGATTCCGTATTCAAATGCACACCAACAAACAGATTTCAGATCGCATACGCTTAGCACGTGAATCCTGGAGCGTAACTCGAATCCTTGAGACCGCCTTCCGCCGAGTCATGCATCATATCTGCGACAGGCAGCATGGGACAGGGAGCAGGAGGCAGGGGGGCAAGGGTAGGTGGTATGCAGCGCGTGGATGACACGTGATTCCGTTGGTCGTAAATTTTGCGAGCACGATTTTTTAGTGCTTTGTAGTTTTAATTTGTGGCTTGTTGAAAATGTTAACAGAATTATTTATGCGATGAATGGTGCGATAAAAATTATGATACTGCAGCTACCAAAGAAAATAACACAGCAAAACTTTGCAGCGGATATTGCCAGAAAGGTAGTCAAACAGAACACGTACTACCTGTGCGAGCGATAAGAATAAGTGTTTAAGCGCGCTGAGCTCGTATTTGCAACCACCCCGATATTTTAATAGACCTTTAACGGTAAAGCAGCAGCCGTAGCAGCAGCAGCAGCAGCAGCAGAAAATGTCACTCAGCCATTTCATTCATCTACATGTCGAAGATTTTTGGGGTGTGTGTGTGTGTGTGTGTGTGTGTGAGTGTCATGGCATCATCCATCATTTTGGACTTGACCTTTTTTTTTGGCTAAGCTTGTGTTTAGCGAGAGCATCTTTAATTTTGTACACATTCATCTGGGCGAGAGATGAGGTGCGTGCCACACATGCTGCAGCTACAGCTACAGCTACAAGATACAAGATACAAATACACACGTTGCGACTTTTGAGTTATTTTGGGGGCCCTGCTGACAGCCAAACGTCACTTGGCAGACAGCAGAGAAAGAGAGAGGGAGGGAAAGAGCCACTGTCAGACAGTCGGCCAGACATGCCACCCCATAAGCGAGGCGAAATCTGCACTGCAATGGCTCATTGTTGATGTGCCGTTGATTATATGGTTGTTGGTCCACCATGTCGAGGTTTCACTCTGGTCGCCGTGTTAAAAATGAATTTGTCATCTCTTAACTGTAAACTGTGTGACATGTTTGCGAAAATCGCCAGGCAGACTGTTAGCCAGCCAGTCCGTCAGTCAGTTCGTCAGCCCAATCGGCAATCAACAGAAATCAGAGAAACACAAAGCCCGACCAATACATCAACGCTGCCCTTTCGTTCAATTCCAAGTCTGATTGATTTGCATCGGCGCTTTTTCTTTTTTGTTGTTGTTTTATTTAAACTGACATTTTTATTTCGGACGTCTTGTTATTGTTATTTCGCATTCGCCTTTCTGCCAAGCTGCAATAATTATGTCAGCCACATTTATCGATGTGATCGATGGGATACAACGGATGCAGTTCATTTGGAATTGAAATTGGGCTGTTGATTACGAGCTGCACACTTGACACAAAGCATTCTAACAAATAAAATATGTTGACTGACAAGATTGTTGTTGTTTGCTTAGCTTTTCGTATTGCTGTATTTGAGATTAAGTTTATATGTCTAAAAATATTGTGCGAAAAAGCTAGGATTTTTTTCTGTGTAAATGGGTTTCCCTATATTTTGAATTTTGTGCAAAGTGAGCAGCCTTATTTTTTGATAAATTTTATTTAAAAATTTAGATATTGAATAAAAATGAAAAAATGAGTGGGTGCTCACTTTCATTACGCATACAAATTAAATCATACAAACAAATCAAGATATTTCTCATTTTTTCATCAATGTCTTCTGAGGAAATAAAAATTGGCTATAAGAACAAAAAAACCAAAAAGTCCATAATTTGTATATTTTTTCCGTAAGCCCTTACCATACGGCTTCTTTGCGGGATGACAGAGAATTTTGATAATACTTCTTAAGGCAGTATTTATTATTAGAATTATGAAATATTAAATTCCATATAAATAAATAAATTCAAATAAGACAACAAATAAATACAAATTAAAATAACATAAAATCCAATCAACAAAAAGGTTTTGCTGCACACAGTATATTACACATAATATTTATTTATTTATTTTATTAACAGGATTAGTTTTAATTGGTATAGTTCTAGTAGTAGTAGAATATCAATTGAAAATTCTTTTATAAAAACGATTTAATTTCTAGTTTATATGCCTATGAATATCTCGTAATTAAAACC